GCATTTCAAGCCCGTTCTAGATGCAGGCAGTGCAGTGTATGCGTCCCATGTCAGCCTCCGCTTGTCTTTCTCCTGAGCTTCTCCTCCAGGTCGTACTCCCACCTCTGACATACTTTACATGCCCTTGCCCCATCAAAATTCCTCCAGTCTTTCATAAAGACTGTCTTGATTTTCCCCCATTTGTTGTTTTTTTCCTTTGATGCTAGCCCCTGTTTCAGAGAGTTCAGGACAGAGAGTTCTGAATGGTGGCAATAGGAGAAGATGCAGCTGCCCCTCCCCGGGGGGCTCTATGTGGACATACTGTGTTCCTAACAGGCAGAGACCATATCACCTAGCACAGAGCCTGCCACTGAGCAGGTGTGATGAAAAATAAGGCTCGCAGGGGAGCAGGGCAGCCCTGGGACAGTGAAAAAACCTACTGCAGAGGGTGACGGCCAGGCAGACCCCGGGCCGCCATTGGTGGGGGGGGGGGGCACGCAGCCCCAAGGACAGGCCAGGAAACTGAGGCGGGGTCGGTGGCAGGGGAGACACTGGGCGTCTTGAGAGGGTCACCCAGCCCTGGCACAGATCCGGAAACTGAGGCAGGGGCGGGGGGGGGTGGCGGGCAGACACCGGCCTGCAGGTTCGGGGGATCACGCAGCCCCACGGACAGACCGGGGAAACTGATGCATTGGCGATTCTGGCCACAAGGCCGCCAGAGTTGGGGGACAGATTGGGAAACTGAGGCCTGGGTAGCCAGGAAGAGGGGGACGTCCTTTCCAGAGGCGGGGGACAGGTGAAATGACCTGGACTCCCCCCACCCAGCACCCACAGGGCCTTTCCTCCACCAGCCCCCACCCAGTCCTCAAAGCACAGCCCCTGGAGCCCAGCTGGTGCCTCAGTTTACCCATCTGTAAAAATAGGGCATCAGCCCCTCCCCCTTTGCCATTTAGGGTTTATTCATTCAACAAATGGCCACTGTGGGCTGGGCCCCGTGCTGGGCTCTGGGGACCCTCCCCCAGTCACCAAGACAGACCCCGCCCCCACTGAGTGGGGTGGGGAAGAGGAGGCCCCTGAGAGGGGGCCCCAGCAAGCTGCAAAAGTGGGAAGTGTGTGCTGGCAGAGGGAACAGCCAGTGCAAAGGCCCTGGGACATCCCGAGTGGCCAGAGCGGGGGAGGGGGCGCATGATGTCATGTGATGACAGACCTGGTTTTTGTCCTCAGGGCACTGGGGAGCCATGGGAGAGTTTCTAGCAGAAAATCACACCTACTCCAGAATCTAGAATCTGCCCTTCAGTCTACAAGGAAAGTGGGGAACCGGGGATCGTGTGAAGGGACACCCCAGGGACGTGACCCACCAGATCCAGCCTGGTGGAAATTGTATGAGACAAATGACTTAGTTGCTTTAATAAATAAAGAGCAAGGTGGAAAAAAAAAAAGAAAACAGTGAAAAGACTCCTGTGTGGCTTCATGTGGATAAATGTGAAAAGAGGCAAAAAGGAATCAGTGGTGACGAGTTGACACCCCCTGGTGTGGGGGGGTGCTGGGAGGGGCTCTGGGGGCCGGGAACGTCTGCTCCCTGCTCTGGCCCAGGAGGATGAGCTGCTCCGTAAATGTTGATTCTGGAGGCCGCAGCCTGGGCCTCCCTTGCCCTGATCCTCGGGCCTCCCTCCCAGGGGACCTGGCCGGCATCTTCTTAATACCCTCGGGGACCCTCAATCTGGGCATGAGCTGCCCCCCAGGGCCCCCACCTCGAAGGTCCAGCCCGTCCGACTCAGCAGCTTCCCCACAACAGTTCCTCCAGCCCCACCGAGCAACCTTGGTCTCCTCGTCCTAACCCGTCCCTCGTTACTGCCCCAGAGGGGTTCTTCTTCCTTTCCTGGTTTCTTACGCTGCTGTCAAGAAGGCATAAAAAGGGCAAACAGGGAACCGTCTCCCTCCCCCCAGCTGTCTGTACTTCCCTCTGGAGATGTGCGTCCCTCAGACGCCTGTGCATATTTATCCATTTCCTTTGCCCCTTTTTGGTCTTTTTTTGCACGAATGGCAGCATCTTTTTTCTCTGCTACATAGTACAATGGCCCAAATGTCCTGGCACCCTGTCGGGTGACTCGTGGGCTTGTATCTGGGGTACATTTCCAGGTGTGGATTTTTGGGACCAACTGTGTCCTCTGCCAGCGTCACAGGTGGCCATGGCCATGTCCCCAGAGCAGGTATCTGCCAACCACTGCCAGCTGGGGTCTGCGTGGCAGCACTTGGAGCCCCAAGAAGGTCAAGTTCTTTGAAGAATGGGCATCTTGTAACCGCCAGATCCCAGGCCTCTCTCACTTCTCTTAACCTTCCATGGCTCCCCGGTGCCCCAGGGGACTGCTCCTTGCAGCCCCAGCGACACTCGGGGCCTCCACTGGGGGCCGGCCTCACCGCAGGCCTGGGCCCACCCACATGGAGCCCCAGCCCCTCGCAGGGTCTAAGTCACCACCTGCCACACGCCTTATTCCGTTGTCTCTGTGCTGCGTTTCTGGCCGCGAGGTCAGGGGCCACAGCAGCCTCCAGGCCTCCAGGTGGCCTTCCCCTCCCGGTCTCGGCCCGAAGCCCCCCTCCCGCCGGCCCCTCCTGCGCTCTCGCCCTGACCGTGCGGGGTGAGGAGGGAGCGGGGGAGAGGGGTGCTGCGCGGGCGAGTGGAGGGCGCGCGGGGGAGGGAGGGCGGAGAAGAGGCGGGGTCGGGGGTGGGGGGGGCCGCGGGGTATAAATGCGCGGCGTCAGCAGAGGAGCCGCTGAGCCCTGCGGAGCCGCCCTCCAGATCCGGTGGCCTCCAGCCGAGACCCTCCCCGGGCTCCGCGGGCGCATCCCCGGTGGGCGGGCGGCAGGAGGAGGGCCTCCGCGGGGATCCCGGGGCGCAATCCCCGAGGGCGACCAGGAGGAAGAGGGCGGCGAAGCCATGCCCGCCGTGGCGACGTGCGGACCCAACGCGTCCTGGTGGGCGCCGGCCAACGCGTCGGGCTGCCCGGACCGTGGCGCCAACGCCTCAGACGATGGGGCCCCCGAGCCGTGGCCGGTGGACGCCTGGCTGGTGCCGCTCTTCTTCGCCGTGCTCATGCTGCTCGGCCTGACGGGGAACTCTCTGGTCCTCTTCGTCATCTGCCGCCACAAGCAGATGCGGACGGTAACCAACTTCTACATCGGTGAGCGCCCGGGCTCTGCGCCCTGCCTGCGCGCCCGCCTGCCCGGCCGGGGGGTCAGCACGAGGGCGGAGCGCACCCCTGGTGGTGCATTGGGCCCTCCCCATAGAGGTCTCTCCCCAGCAGGGCTCCGGGAACTACTGTCCCCCGAACCTTAGGCTAGAGGTCGCAAACTCTGGCGTTGGAGGGTTCCCTGGGGGCTGCAGTAGATAAAAGGGAGGTTGGAGAGCGTGGCGCATGGAGAGCTCGCCCCTGTCGCTGGAGGAAGACGTCCGATTGAAATGTGGTTCTTACTAGACGGTACCCCACGAAGAGAAGGAGGGTGGGGGAGGGACCGCTTGGCCCGGGGACCCCCAGTTTGCGGCCTCTGCCCCAGTGGCTCGGTTTGCACGTTTGTGTGATGGGGGTGGGGGGTGGATTACCCGGCACAGGTGAGTGTGCAGTGTTCTCTGTTCTGTGGTGGTTGCTGGGCGAGCACCCCTGTCTCCAGTGTGCACAGGAGGAAACGGGGGCTCAGGGGGACAGAGGTCTGCGCATGCTCTCCCAGCCCGGACGGGGTTGGGGGGCGGTGGTGAGTCGGGCAGATTGTTGCTTGAATAGCTATGAAGCCGGTGCTCGGGGACGTTTGAAATGTAAAAGGGGGAGACTGGAGGGTGCCCCAACTTCTCTGCCCGAGGGCGTCGGGGGCCTTCCCCAGCCGTCCTGCTGGTCCCTCGGACGAGGCGAGGGCTGGAGGGCATGCACGGGGCGCTGAGTGGCGCTGAGGCCCGCGCGCCCCGCGTCCAGCCCCGCGCGTGCCCCGCCTGCAGCCAACCTGGCGGCCACAGACGTGACCTTCCTGCTGTGCTGCGTGCCCTTCACGGCCCTGCTCTACCCGCTGCCGTCCTGGGTGCTGGGCGACTTCATGTGCAAGTTCGTCAACTACATCCAGCAGGTGCGCGGGCTGCGGGGCGGGGCCGGAGCCGGGCCGGGGGCGGGGCCTGGGGGCCGTGGGCGGGGCCTGGATGGAGGCTGAGTCTGGGAGGTGGGCGGAGCCTAAGCAGGGGCGGAGCCTAGGCAGGGGCGGAGCCTTGGAGCCAGGGACGGGTCTGGGTGGGGGTGGAGCCTGAGAGCCGGGGGTGGAGTCTGGATGGGGCGGAGCCGGGGCAGGGCGGGGCCTGGGAGCCGGGGGCGGAGCCTGGGCAGAGGCAGAGACTTGGAGCTGGGGGCGGAGTCCGGGTGGGGCGGAGCCTGGGAGCCAGGGGCGGGGTCTTGGTGGGGGCGGAGCCTAGGTGGGTCAGGGCCTAGGAACCAGGAGCAGAGCCTGAGCCTTGGAGCCAGGGGCCGGGCCTGGGTGGGGGTGGAGCCTGGGAGGTGGGCGGGGCCTGGGCGGGACAAAGCCTTGGAGCCAGGGGGCGGGGTCTGGGTGGGGGCGGAGTCTGGGAGGTGGGGGGGTGTGGGGCGGGGAGGCGGAGTCTGGGCTGAGGAGGGGAGAGCCTGGGCCCAGATGGGGCACAGCGTGGAGGAGGTCGGGGCGGGGAGAGAGTCTGGGGTGGGTGGGACAAGGTGGAACCTGAACCAGGTCGGGCTCGAGGGCTATGGGGAGAGACAGATAGGGGGTCCTGGGGGCCGGAGTGGGGTGGCCGTGGGCCCCGGGAGGGTGATTGGGCCCCGCGGCTTCTTGCCCCGCCTGTCCCGCGATCCTAGGATGGCCCTGCCTCTCCGTGTCTCAGTCTCGGGGTCTCCGTGGACCCCCAGTGGTCCCCTCACTTCCCCGGCCATGCTGGGCTCCTCTCTGGTATCCTCTCCTCTCCTGTCCCTTCAACTTGTGGCCCTGGGGACCCTCCCTGGACACGTTCCGGTGCGCCTGAGTGGTTGGACATGGGGGGGGTGGACCCTCAGAGTGGGTGGGGACAGGGCAGGCCGTGGACCGGGCAGGGGCCCACGCGCCGGCTCCTGGGGCTCCCAGGTCTCCGTGCAAGCCACGTGCGCCACCCTGACGGCCATGAGCGTGGACCGCTGGTACGTGACGGTGTTCCCGCTGCGCGCCCTGCACCGCCGCACGCCGCGCTTGGCGCTGGCCGTGAGCCTCGGCATCTGGGTGGGTGAGTGCACGGGGGAGGGGGGGAGGGGACTGCACGGAGGTGGAGGGACAAGTCCTCGAGCTCCGGGCTTCCCCCCCCAATTGCCCCTCTCCGGCCTCGGTCGTGCATCTGGGCAATGGGCGCAACAGTGACCCCTGCGAAGGGCTACTGAGGGCGCGGGTGGGGGCGACCCAGGAGGCACTCAGTGCGCGCTGCTCGGGGAGGCTCTCGGGGAGACCAGGGCCCTGGACCCCTCGCGCCCCCTAGTCCCCCGGACAAGGTCGTCAGCCTGGCCTGTGGTGCAGGCTCGGCGGCCGTGTCGGCGCCGGTGCTCGCCCTGCACCGCCTCTCGCCCGGGCCGCGCACCTACTGCAGCGAGGCCTTCCCCAGCCGCGCCCTGGAGCGCGCCTTCGCGCTCTACAACCTGCTGGCGCTCTACCTGCTGCCGCTGGCCGCCACCTGTGCCTGCTACGGGGCCATGCTGCGCCACCTGGGCCGGGCCACCGTGCGCCCCCCGCGCGCCGACAGCGCCCTGCAGGTGCGCGGCTGGGAGGGGGCGCGCGGCCAAGCTGTGTGTGTGTGGGGGGGAGACACGAGGGAGGGGTCCCAGGGGGTGGCACGGTGGGGGAGCTCTGAGGGGGCTGCCCCAGCCGACCCTCAGCCTTCCCTCCTCTCGCCGCCCCCCCCACCCCCAGGGGCAGCTGCTGGCGGAGCGAGCGGGCGCCGTGCGCGCCAAGGTCTCGCGGCTGGTGGCGGCCGTGGTCCTGCTCTTCGCCGCCTGCTGGGGCCCCATCCAGCTGTTCCTGTTGCTGCAGGCGCTGGGCCCGGCGGGCGCCTGGCACCCGCGCAGCTACGCGGCGTACGCGCTCAAGACCTGGGCGCACTGCATGTCCTACAGCAATTCGGCCCTCAACCCGCTACTCTACGCCTTCCTGGGCTCCCACTTCCGTCGGGCCTTGCGCGGCGTCTGCCCCTGCGCTCCCCGGCGCCCCCGCCAACCCCGCCGCTCCGGACCCTCGGACGCCGCCGCCGCCCCCCCGCCCCGCGCCGAGCTGCACCACCTGGCCGCCCGCCCGACCCCCACCGGGATCCCAATGGAGCCGGGAAGCGGCGGAGGGGGCCGCGCAGGCTGTGCGTCCTGAGGGAACACGCTGCCCCTCTCTGAGCCTTCTCTGGAGATGGGCCCCTCGGGAACAGGCGCTCCTTGAACAGCACCTGCTATTATTCTGTTATTAATCTATTTTTGTCCCAGATAATTGTCATGAACTTATTTTGTCCTCTTGTAACGTCTGGTACAGATTTGCTGTGCTGTTTGCTGCTATCGATATCGTAATTATTGTTTCTGTATTTCCCGAAAGTGGAGATGCTTTGATGCTGGCCCCTTCAAGGAAGCGTCTATAGAAATTTCTGCACACGGGCCTGTGGTCGACGGTAAGATTGTAAGATGCGTCGCACTCCCAGAGATGTTAAACCGTGAACCCCATGTGTATCTTAAAATGGATGAAATAAGGCGTCATTATTAATAATGTACCTGTCCTGGCTGGGAACGTGGTGACTGCCGTCGGTCCCGTGAGTCCTCCTGGGGGCTCAGGGTGCAGAACCACCCGTGTGAGAGGCAGATCCACTGCTTCGTAACAAACCACCCCAAATGGAGAGTCGCAGAACAGCATCCGTGTCACCTCCCAGGATTCTGTGGGGTGGCTGCGCTCAGTGGGCGCTTCCCATCCCCCACGCGGGTGGGTGGGGGTGGCTCACCTGGGGACCAGGAAGCCTCTGGCAGAGTCACAGGGCATCTTTGGCAGAAATGTGCAGGAAATGGTGGAAGCTGCAGGACCTGGAGGCCCAGACTCACAGGTCCCAGCAGCCACTGCTACCCCATCGACAGTTTGGGGGTGTCAGAGACCCCCCCCCAGATTGGAGGCGGGGTTAGACCCACGTCCTGGTGGGCTAAACTGCGTGTGTGTGCGGGCGAGAATCAGTGCAGCCACCCAGGACGGCCCTGCAGGCCACAGGCGGAGTCGCCCCGAAGAAGGACCGCCCGTCTCTCAGAGGCCCCAATCCTCACAAATTATGTGGGGCCATCCTGGGCCCCCAGACAATCCAGATTTGCTGAGATGTTAATAAGACCGAGAGGCCAGAACATGGCACCATTCGGACCCTGGCCTGACCCTTGCCTGTTCCGGTCTCCGAGACCCGGCCTGGGGACTGGGCTGGACACAGGGTGGAAATTCTCCCCGTGGCCTGCAGGCCCTACCCACCCCCTGCCTCTCCCCACTCTCCCCCAAACCCGCAGTCTCTCTGTGGCTTCCTGAACGGCTGGGCCGCTGTCCTCCTCGCTTCTGGGCCTTTGCACATGCAGTTCCCTCTGTTGTGCCAGGTGCATCCTCGCTCATCCTCCAATCAACTTGGCTGCCCCCTCCTCCGGGAAGCCCTCCTGGCCCCCTCCAGGCTGGGTCAGGCGCCTCGTCCGGGCCGAGTGCTGCCCCCCTCATAGCTCTGACATCCTTGGGCTGTACCTGCCGGGTGCCTGTCTGACCTGGTCCCCACTGGGTCCCCGGGGCCCAGCGCACAGTAGGGCTGAATAGATATTTGTGGGATGAATAACCAAGTGTGTTGTGGGGACTAAAAGAGGAGGTGTGTGCAGAAGGTGGGGTGTGATTTCTGTGTGAAAAATGAATAAAAAAAAAAGCAGGGCTGGTCCCATGGCCGAGTGGTTAAGTTTGCACGCTCTGCTTCTGCGGCCCAGGGTTCCGCCGGTTTGGATCCTGGGCGCGGACATGGCACCGCTTGTCAGGCCATGTGGAGGCGGCGTCCCACATGCCACAACTGGAAGGACCCACAGCTGAGAATATACAGCTGTGTACCTGGGGGCTTTGGGGAGAAAAAGGAAAAATTAAAAAAAAAAACATTAAAAAAAAAAGCTAAAGGGGGCGTCCTGAGTAATCAGCTCAGAGAGATGAAAACTTCCGTCCGCACACAAACCCGCACAGATGTCGGCAGCAGCTTTATTATCAAAAGCCCCAAACTGGGGACACCCCAGGCGTCCTTCGGCAGGTGGGGGGTGAAACCCGCTGTGGTGCATGCACCCCACGGAGCACCGCTCAGCAGCACAAGGTCAAGAACACACCACAGACACACACAACACCCCACGTGGCTCTCCGGGAATCTCGGCGAGCGTGAAGGACCCACGGGTGACACGATGTCTGGTTCCATCTGGGTAGCAGCTGGAGGTGACGACATCGTGGGACTGAGACAGATGCGTGGTTGTGGGGCTAAGGGATGACGGGGGAGGCGGGCGGGCAACACGAGGGACCTCCCGTCCCCGGACCCGGAGGTGGACACTCGAACCTACCCAGGTGACAAAGTCGCAGAGAGCTAACCACACTCACAGGTCCCAGGAAAAGAAGATCCGGGTCAGATGGGAGGGTGGCCTCAGTGTGGGCCTCCTGGTGGCCATGCCGTGCCGCGGTTTTGCAAAACGCTGCTGAGTTACTGTCGGGGCAGCTGGTGAAGGGAACGAGGGAGACGGCTCTGCAGGAGAGGCTACAATTATCTGGAAATAAAAAGTAAAATAAAATGGTGTTAAAGGCTCGAAAAGGACATTCAGGAAGAGGAATCATTTCAAAACTGCAGACCCAGGGCGTGCCCTTTGTGGATCCTCACGTCCTTGTCCTTTCAGCTGGGCACTGTTCCCCGTGCCAGGTAGCCACCGCCCCCCTCACCTCGCCTCATATGGAGCCCCTGGCTAGTCGTCCACGGGGCCAATAAGTGGCAAACGACCCAGAGAGCTGCAAAGTGGCAGCCGTAGAAAGGGCTGTGAAGGGAAGATGTGCCTCCATTGCGAGTAACTGGGAGGCTGACCTTGGTGGGTGCCAGTCCAGGAAGGCTTTCTGGAGGAGGTGAGTCTGAGAAAAGTGAACTGAGCCCAGAGCTTGGGGAGGATCGCACCGGACAGAGGGAACAGCCGGTGCAAAGGCCCTGAGGCAGGATATGTCTGGTGGATTTGAGGGGTAGCAGGGAGGCAGGTGGGGCTGGAGGGCAGTGAGGAGGGGAAAGGGGAGGAGGTGAGGACAGAGGTGGTGGGGACCTTGCCAGCAGCGGAGATGAGTAGGGTCTTTCCCGTAGGTGGGCGACGGGAGCCATGAGAGGCTTCCAAGCAGGGAGGGACGTGGTTTGAGGCAGGCAGAGATTTTTCCAATTACTATTTGATGGCGATGACTATTTTTCTGATCTTTTGGGCTGCCAGGACCAGGCATCTGCCGGGAAAGCCCATCCGGGAGGGGATGTGGATGGGCCCCAGGGGATATGGAGATAAACCCCGGGCGTCTGGTTTAATTTCAATTTCAGATAAACAATGAAAAAATTTTCAATATTTGCAGTAAACTTAAAATTATTTGTTATCTGAAATTCAGATTTAACCGCGAGTCCCGCGCGCTGTCCAGCAGCCCCTCGTGGAGCAGAAGGAGCTCCAGGGGACGACAGCCTGGCTCCGCGGGCCTCAGTTTCCCCGCCTGACCCGGGGAGCTCGTTTCCAGGTGAGACGGCACCACCTGGCGGCCGCCCGCGGATCGCTGGCCCCGCCCCTCCTCCGAACCACGCCCCCTTTAGGCCCCGCCCATCGCAGGCCCCGACCCCAGGCCGCAGCCCCGCAGGTGCCCGGCAGGTGGCGCGCGCACCCCGCGGAGGGGTCTCGCTTCCCCGGGCGATGCCACCAAGGTGTCCCCAGCGCCTGGGGGGGCGGTGGCCCCGGTGTCCCCCAACCTGCACCCCCGGCTGAAAGGCTCCCCGCGGCCACACGGGGCGAACAGAGCCGCACTACTACTCATTTGCCGGGTCCTCGGCCCTTTTTGCTTCGCGGGGTCCCCTTCTAGGAAAAAAATGTTAAAAATTGTTATTTGGGGTAAAGACGAATATCATTCAGGCTGGATCCGCTATAGAAGATACTCGCTTTTTTCTTCTCATTTTCAAAGAAGTTAGGATGACATTCTCCCGGACCCTGGCTCCCAGCGACAGGCAACCTGGAGGTAGCACGGGTGACAGCAGAGGGCGGGGGTTACCGGGTCAAGGGGCGCCCAGCAACCCCGCTCCGGGCTTTTTTGCTTTGGGACACCGAGATGGCGAGTAGTTCGGTTTGCCCTGCACCTCTGTGTAGACAGACACCCAAAATCCCGTGGGAGGAAGGAGGAGGGGCGGGGACACACGGATTCATCCATCAAACAACATGTATTGAGCTCCACTGTGTACCAGGCCAGCCTCAAGGCTGGGGACCCAGCCGCCAGCAGGGCCAAGTAGGTTAAGTAAATAGAGCTGTTTTGAAACAGAAGCCTTTCGATGGAGATAAAGGAGGGCGGCGTGATGGGGTGATGGGGACTCTGGGAGGTCGTGGGGGGGCGCTCCGAGGGGCGGACGTTCCAGTTTGAGTCGGGAGAAGGCACCGGCCATGGGGTGACCCGGGGAGGGCGGTTCAGGCAGCGGGAACAGCCAGTGCAAAGGCCCGGAGGTGCGACTGTGAGGAGGAAGATACGTGGGAAGGTGGCCAGTTTGGGATCCAGCGGAACTTTTAAGAGGATGCCGCCCACCCCTGAGCGGACAGCAGGATGAGTGACTGACTCAGGGCCTGGGTGAGGATCAGGCTGGTTTTTGCCGGGGGGGGGGGGGGGGGAACATCCAAAACCCACAGGGGCCCCGCAAGATGGTCAGGCCAGGAAATTGTATAGGGCTGGGGTAGCTGTACTCATTTCCCAGCTTGAGAAACAGAGACCAGAGAGGGGTCTGCACTAACCTAAGATCACACAGCCAGGAGGCAGCTGGAACCTGGGCCTGCTGCCCACCCCAGTGGAGCCAGCAAGTCTGTATCAATTCCCAGCTCCCTCCTGGGGCTAAAAATAGAAGCCCCGTGGCTGGAGGCAGCTTGGGATCCTGCAACCCTTCACCCTCCCGGGCCTGGCACCTCTGGGGAGATAGCACCCAGCTCCGTGGGGACCACAGCGTCCCTTGGGAGGGGGAGGGGCAGCACCCTCCTGCCCTTCAGGGTTCCCCCCCACTGCCTCCTTCCCTTTGAAGAGGGGGAAATGTAATCTTCAAAACTACTATGCCAGGAATGAATTCCATTTTACAGAAGGGGAAACTGAGGCACAGGGAGGCCCACGCACCTGCCGGGTCGCGACCCCCCGGGGTGCATGCTGATCTGTTGGGCTCTCTGGTGCGGAGGGGCCTGTTCGGCACTGGCCCCTCTGTGGGCGCCTCCCCTGCCCTGCTCACCTGGGGCTCCCCACGCCCCCTCCGCGGGCAGAGGTCTGTCCCTCCCCGCGGGGGGCGGGGAAGCAGCCGGGGTGGGGTGTCTAACAGCCTGAAGGGGGAGGCCTCCCTGCCACCTGCTGCCATTAGGCCACACGCAGCCCCGGGGCCGGAGGGCTGGGTCCCTGCAGGGCGCGGGCGGGACTCCGGCCCTGGGGTGGGGGCGGCTCTCCCGCGCCCATCCCTCGGGCTGGGGAATCCCAGAGCCGGTCTGCGATGGGGGGGGGGGGGCAGAGCAGATGGCACGGCCGAGAGCCACAGGGGAGGGGGAGGGGCTGTCCACGCACCCCCCCACTCAGGACCAGGACTCCAGCCCCACCCCCCGGGGACCTCCGAGAAGTGGGGGGCCCTCGGGGGGGCCCTGCCCGCCTCCCGTGCTCCCCCGACTCGGCTCTTATCTGGGCTGGAGCCTGGGCGCCTGAGATAAGTAAGCCCCAGGGGTCGCCTCTGGGGCTCAGACCTCCCAGCTGAGCCCACTCCCCGCCCCCACCCCCCCCCCGAGCTCCCCTACTACTCCGTGCCTCAGTTTCCCGCTCTTCGCAATGGGGACATTAAGAGTCTCGCTACGCAGCGGTGTCAATGAACCTGGGCACATGGCCGGGCCGCCGGGCGCTCAGAACACGGAGATGATCGTCCAGTTCTTAGCGCCCAGAAGACCAGCGGGTGTCGCCTCCCGGACGGGGGGGCTGTCAGGTTCCCCAGAGGGGGCGACATCGGGGGAGGGGTCGTCACGATTTGGCGACCGGCCTCCGGGGACCCTGCGCCCCCCGCCACCCCCAGGCCTCTGCGGGTGCCAGGCCCCCCTGCAGCCGCGCCCTCTCGGAGGCCCGCCCCTCCGCGCCCCCCGCGCGGGGCCCCCCCCCCGGGTCTCTATCCCCATTTTACGGACCTGCAAACCGGGGCTCGGCTGCCGGGCGCCGCGTCTAAGGGGCAGGGGTGAAACTCCGAGCCCGGCAGGCCCCTCCTAGGTGCTCGGTGAGATGGGGGAGGGGGTCGTCGACCCGGCTCGAGGCCCCCACCCTTCCCCGGCCGCCCGGGCGGAGGCCCAGCCCCCCTCCCCTCCCCCGCGGGCGCTCCCAGCCCCGCCCGCGCCCTGGGCGCCCTGTGCGCTCGGGGCCGCGGCGCGCACTTTGCCCACCTTCCCTAGGCAGGGGGCGGGGCGTCCCGCGTCGCTGTTCCCCTTCCTTTTATTATTTATTATCATTTAAAGGGGCCGCGACTTGAAAATTTCCGTCCAGTCTTCCCCCCCCTCCCCAACAGCCCCGGGGCCGGTGGCGCGTCGCCGGACCGAGCGCGGGGCGCGAGGGGGCTTCGGGGAAGGGGGAGGGGGCCTCCCGAGACCCCTCCCCGCGTCCCGGGCCGCGGCGCTGAATCACCGGCGAGGTATTTGCATCTGAGAGCGATTTGTCACCCGGTGATTTGTCTGCGGGGCGGTGAGCGCGCCGGCGGGGGGAGGGGAGGGGCGGGGGAGGCCGCGCGCGGGGAGCCTTTTACCAATCGGGTCGGATGGGGGTGTAGACGCGGACTCGGCTGGCGGCTCGGTGAGTCGGCGCGCGGCACAAACCCGGCGGCGGCCGGCAGCCAGCAGCGCGCAGCTCGCGGCCCGGGCGGGAGGCCAGGCGCGGCCGGGGCAGGGCCGGACGCCAGCGCGGGGCATGCGCCCCCCGAGCGGGCCCTGCGCCCCCCGAGCGGGCCCCGCGCGGTGAGGCTTGGGGGGGGCGCGCGCACTGGCCTTTTAAACCGCGCGTTCCGGTCTCGGGTGGGCGCAGCGCGCCGTGGAAACCAATGAGCGGGGTCCCCAAAGTTGGGCAGCGACGTGGGTGGGGGGTCCAGCGCCGGGAAGGCGATCCTAGGGGGTCGGAGTTGGGGCAGTTTGCTCGGCGCCCCCGCCTTGGAGACCTCACCCCCTACCGTATTGCGCCGGGGACGCGCGGGGGCGATCGGGGGTCGCGAGCGCGCGCTCCCCCCTCCCCAGCGGAAGGAAATGGTCTCTCGGCGCGCGCGGGGGGCTGCGCTCCCGGTTCTTATTTCATTTTTTTCTCCCCGGAATCGGGTGTTTTATTCGAGAGCCCCGAGGGCGCGGAGTGGGAGCGCCGGGTGCGGAAGGCCGTTCCCTGGCGACCCTCCCCAGCCCGGGCGGTTTATTTATAAAGTGTCGGCTCCCGGGCAGAAGGGGGCCCCTGGAGGGGACACCACGGTCCCCAGGTCCCCGCGCCCGGGATAAGGGGGTGGGTTCGGCCCGGGGCCCCGGCTCTCTGGCGGGGATCCCCGGGAAAAGCCCCCCCGCCTCCCCCCCCATCCAGTGCCCCCCAGACACAAAAGCGGGCGCAGGAAGCCCGGGGAGCGCGCGTTTGTCAATCCAACGTTCGGCGGCCGACCCCAGGCGGCGGGTTTGTCAATAATCTTCCGTTTTTAGTCGCCCCGGCCGGAGGGGTTGCCCCCCCCACCCATGCAAATCGGCCGCTTTCCAAGAAGCCTTTGAAATCCGGACTGGGGTTTTTGTCGTCTTATTTCTTCTTCTTCAGTTCTGCTCGGCTCACTTCCTCCGGGCGGGGGGGGGGGGGGGGGGGGGGCGGGCGCCCCTGTCCCGACTCCCCGAGCCCCCTCCCCAGCTCTCCGCCCCGCCCTCCCCCGCCCTCCCCCGGGGTGGAGTGAGGGGCCCCTTTCGCCACCCGCGGGCCCCGGCCTTGCACAACTCTTTAAATAACTGTGTTTTGCAAGGCCCGGCCTGAGCGGGTGACCTCTCTCTCCGGGAGGCACTGGTGGGGGGGGGGGGGGGTGGGAGGGTGTGGCCCGGGATCCCTCCCCGCCCCCCTAGCCAGGTCCCAACGACCACCCAGCGCCCCCCCATCCCCGCCCCGGTCCCTGCCTGGGAATGCCTTTCCCCCGGGGTTGTCATAAAGTGGGGGTAGGGGCCGAGGACAAAGGGCTCTTGGGGGGAGGGGTCTGGAGGGGGTGGGCGGCACCAGCTGAGGGTTAATGGCGGCCACTGGGGGCCCGGGCCCGGCCCAGGGGGGCCCTGGGGTTCCCACCTGCCCCCTCCACCAGCCGCAGCGTGGAGACCTGCCCCGCTCCCCTCCCCCACCCGGCGACCCGGAAGGGTCATTAAACCCAGCAGGCCGGGAGGGGGGGGGTGGGGAGGAGTGGCTTCCTCTGGCCTCTTCCTTCTGCCCCCCAAAGAGGGGGGGCGTTGCCTGGAGCGTTTCCGTGGGGAGGGGGGGTCTCTGTTGAAGTTGTCAAAGGTGGGGGAGGGGCGGCGGACCGGGGCGAGACACTGGGCCAGAAATGTCCCCTCAGCACTTCTTGGGGCTGGGGGGTGGGGGGGGGCGGCGCTGCCAGGCCCCGGGGTGGGGGGCTGGGTGCCGTTTTCTGCCTCCCAGGACGAGCCTCCGCTGGTCACTCTCCAGCCCTGTGGCCTCTGAGAGGGTCTTTGTGCCCTGGAACCCCTCCCCTGCTGGACACCCAGGTCCTATGGGGACACGTCTCTCCCCCCTTCCCCACAGGGGCCCCCCCGACCCACCCAGTCCCCGTCCAGCTGGGAGCCCAGGGGGTCTGGGTGAAGGGTGTGCAGTCCAGGAAGGCCGAGGGCCACCCGGCTGCCCCTGGCTCTGCAGGGCCCCTCTCTGACGGACGAGGCTGGGGGGTCTACACTGGAAGGCTCCCCACTCTGGGTGGGATCAGGCTGCTGTTTCAGGCCACCAGAGGGGTTGGGAGGGCGCCCAGCCTGGTGTCTGAGCATCAGCCAGCTGCCAGGAGCCTCTGCCCCCGGGCTGGCCCTTCCCGCGTGGGGCCGTCTGCCCCAGGAGAGGCTTGTGAGCCTCTGGGGTCCCTTTGCTGGGTTAGGGGCGGCCTCCTGGGTCCCCCCTGCCCCCCGCTGTCCCCGTGGTGTGCCATCTGGGGTGTCCCTGCCGGGCCTGTCGGGTTCTGCCTGGTCTGTTTTATTGGCGGCCTGGGCGGGTGGGGGTGTGGCCGGGGTTGGGCGGGGGGCTGGGGCGGGATGGCGTCCTCTCATCTCCCGGTGGTGCCGGGCTGGGCCGGGTTCCGGGGCGTCCCTCGCCGGAGCCCCCGCGAGGCCCTGATAGTCAGGGTTGTCGGTGGTCCGAGAGGACCCCGGGCTCGGGGCAGAGCGCCTGGCATCCTGGGAGGCCGGCCCCACTTGGGGTCCCCAGGGGCCGGGGGACTCCCCCAGAGAGAGTGCGTGGGGCGGTGGGGGAGCCTCCCAGACCCGGGTTTGAACCCCAGCCCGCGTGTGTCCTCCGCAGGGCTTCTCCGAGCCTCGCTTCCTCGTCTGTAAAATGGAGACCCGCGGGCGCCCCCGTCCTTAACCGCCCCGGCCCCACCGGGCGCCCCCTTAGCCGTCACAGCCTCGCGGCGTCCCTGCTGAGCACAGAGAGGTGAGCGCTGTCTGGGCGCCCCTTTGCAGACGGGGAAACCGAGGCCTGGAGAGGTGGTGGCTCGGGGACGAGATGAGAGCACGAGTGGGGCAGTTTGGCTCAGGGCCTGTATCCAGCAGGCGCTCAGTCTGCGTCAGCTGTGTCTCTTAGCCTGAGAGAAAGGGGGGTACCTGAGCCCCCGGGACCGGGCTACACCGGCCTTGGTGCCAACAGCACCTAGAACTCGGAACCGGAACCCGGAACCCTCCTGGATTCCAGCGCCCGGTAGCCAGCCGCGGCCAATCCGAGGCGGGGAGCGCCCTGTCTCCCCCCCACTGCTGTTTATGAAGCGGTGATCCAGGCTCTGTCCCGGGAGCTGTGGCCGGCGACCGCGCGCTTCTCTGTGGCCCAGACGGGTGGGGGCCTCCTCGAGACCCTTGGGGAGTGGGGTGCGGGGTGACCCCACTTCCCAGCCCGCTGGAGGGCGGACGGAGGGGGCCGGATGGGGAGGGCTCGCTCCTCCCTCCGCCTCCAGGGAGGCCTCCAGGTTTGCACTCTGTTGGGGCCCGAATGGGAGGGATTTTCCCAGAGGCCTTTGCGGTCGACCTCTGGGGAAGATGGGGACCGAGGAGCCCAGGTGGGGTCTGACGCTGTCTCTTGCCGCCCCCAGGTTTCTGCGAACACGTGAATGAGCCGCATGCCAGCCGCTGCCCCGGCCTGAGAAGGAGGCGCCCCCCCGCCCGCCCGGCGCTGGCATGCCCGCCAGCCCTCCGCCTGAGCCCGGCGGCCCCCGCCCCCGCCCCCCGCCACCCTGCACTGCCCCGGCTCCCCCGAGGCCCCCACACTGCAGTGCGGCCGGGCCCCCTCCCCGCAGGGGCCGCCCCCCTCCGGCGCCCGGGGCGGCCCGGCCCGCAGGGCCATGAAGCTGCAGGCCGTGATGGAGACCCTCCTACAGCGCCAGCAGCGGGCGCGCCAGGAGCTGGAGGCCCGGCAGCCGCCGCCCGAGCCCCCGCCGGCCCCCCGGCCCGCGCCCGGGCCGCCCCGAGGAGGACAGGGAGCCGGAGCACGCCCGGATGCAGCGCGCGCAGATGGCCGCGCTGGCCGCCATGCGGGCCGCCGCCGCGGGCCTCGGTCACCCGGCCAGCCCCGGCGGCTCCGAGGACGGGCCCCTCGGCTCTGAGGACGAGGACACGGCCCGGGAGGGGGCCCCCGGCTCGCCCGCCCCACCCGGCCGAGGCAGGGAGGCCCCGGGACCCGCCGAGGGCGACAGGCACTTCGAGGACGTGGGCTCCGACGATGAGCTGTGAGTTGGGGTTGTGGACTGAGCGAGAGTTTAATGAGCGCTTACTGTATACCAGGCAGCTGGGGGCCCTGGGGACACGGCCGTAAAGGAAGGACAGACCCTCTGTCCCCCTGAGCGCCGAGGCTGGCACCATCCCGTAGAAGTTTCCAGTGACGGTGGCCACGTTCACATGCGCGTAGAGTTGGGGAGCCGCCAGTCCTGACGGCTGCTGAGCGCTCAAAACGCGGCCGGTGCAGCCGGGGGTCCGAGTCTGTAGCTTTATTTCATCTTAGTTTCAGGGGAACCGGCCGCATGTGGCCGTCGGTTGGCCCCTCTGGGTCCGACGCAGGCCCTGAGCCGGGCGCTGGCGAGCCCCGGGTGGGATCCTTCTGGAAGGACGTTTAACAAGCAGAGAAGCCCGGGGGACGTGGGTGTGATCAGGGGGCTGCTGAGAAAGCAGAGCAGAGGGGCGGTGGAACGGTGTGCCTGGAGGAGGGAACAGCGTGAGCAAAGGTCCTGGGGCAGGAAGCGCTTGGCATTTTCAAGGCCTACAAGGAGGCCTTGGGGGAGAGGCAGGCGGGGGCTGGGGTCCACGGGGGTCCCCGGAATTGGGAAGCAGAGTGTGGCCAGGCCCTGAGCAGGGGGTGCTCACAGGCCCTCTGGGCAGCCGGAGCAGCTGGTCAGAGAGGGAAACCGAGGCTGGGACGGGGAGCAGGGCGGCCCGGGGCCGTGCCTGACCTGTGCCCTCTGCCCGCTCCAGGAAGCCGAAATGGGAGGAGGAGGAGGAGGAGGAGGAGCTGGAGGAAGAGCTGGGGGATGAGGACGAGGACGAGGACGAGGACGAAGAGGAGGACTACGAGGATGAGGAGGGGCTCGGGCCCCCCGGCGCCACCGGCCTGGGCCCCGCAGCCCTGTTCCCCCGCAAGGCCCCGCCGCCCCAGGCCTTCCGCGGAGACGGCGGGCCGCGCGCGCTGGGCGGCCAGGAGCGGCCCGGAGGCGGGCCGGCGCCCCCCGGGGCGCCGCACACACGGCGCCGCCCCTGCAGCCGCCCGACCACGGGGACTGGACGTACGAGGAGCAGTTCAAGCAGGTGGGCCGGGCGCGCGGCCGCGGTGGGCGTCGGGGGCGCGGTCGGAGGGCTCGGCGGTGGCGGGGAGCCCGGGCCCTGGGGGCCGCGTGGCCGTGGACGGCGTGGACAGACGGTGGCTCCGCGGGCGGGCGGGCGGCCGGGGCAGAGGAAGTGGCCGGCGGGCGGGGGGCCTTTGAAGTGGGGCCGCGCGGGGGCCGGGCAGATGGAGACCAGATGGCGGCCCCGCTCGCATTCCAGCCGCGGCCAGCTGGGCCCTGCCCGACCTCCGGCGGTGGTGGCGGCGGCTCTGGCCTCGGCCGGGCTCGTCGGGCGGCCCCGTCGGGACGCTGGCCCCCAGGACCGACCGTGAGCCCCCCCCACCCCGGGACGGAGCGCGAGGCCGGGGCGGGAGGCAGCTTCGAGGAACGCGCGGGCGGGGCGGCCTGGCCTCGGGCCGGGTGCTGGCACGCGGATGGCGGTGCGGCCGGTGGAGTGGCAGACGTCACCGTCACCTCCTCAGGGCGTGGCGCCCGCGTGCGGACGCCAGCCTGAGCCTCACCCGCCCCCTGCCTCAGTTTCCCTCCCCGTCTGAAGGAGATGCTTGGCCGGCTGGGTGGCTGCATCTGTCTGGCGGACGAGGAGAACCGAGGCGCGGTGCTGGGGTGTCGGGGTGTTGGGGGGCCCCTCAGCTCCCGGGATCTTGGGCTCGAAATAACACGAAGGGGCCCTTTGTGGGGAGGTCTGTTGACTCGCTCGCCGCATCCTTGCCGTCGGCCCAGGCGGGCGACACCCCTGGCCTCACAGGGTCACGGCCGGGCCCAGAAGGAGGGACGAGGCCGTGTGGCCCTTGTGGGGTCAGAGGTCGCCAGGACCCCCGGCCATGCCCGGCGGCCCAACGCCGACAGGAGGGGGGTTTGGGTGGCCGGCCTGGCCGGGACGAGGGGTCAGATGCCCTGACCCCAGAGCCCTCTCGGCGTGTCAGGAACAAAGGGCCGTAGGAGCCATTGTCCACTTGTCAGACGAGATGATGATGTCTGGAGATGCCCAGGGTCGGGCTCGGGTGGGGAAACTGAGGCCAGAGCGGGCAGGGAGCACCCACCACCAGAGGCCCCGCTCCCCTGCTGTGGGTGGAGCGGGTCGGTCAGCAGGTGGGTCGTGTTTAAGGTTGTGGGGCGATGCCACGCAGTCCGGCAATTTTCACTGGGAGGCGGGAGGCCCTCGGGTGGGACGTTCGGGCCGAGCCTGTGGGAGCAGGAGCCGGGCTCAAACCGAGGAGACGGCCGTGCAAAGGCCCCGGGGTAGAAGCGGCTACGCTCGTGTGTGGAGGCCGGATGCCACCGGGCCTCGCGGAACGGGGCGGGAGGGGACCCCAGACGCCGGGGCTGAGGGAGGTTGTGGGCAGGCGGGATCCTATTCCCGGCCCGTCTGCGGCGGGTCCAGCTGCCGGCGCTGCCCTCGCGCCCAGCTGGCCGGGCACCTGCGCAGCCAGTGTCAACAGTGGCCTGGGCCCAGCCGGCCGGCAGATGTCGGCCGTGTTGACTCTGGCGCCCGCCCCACCCCCTTCCTGGCACGTGGCAGCCGGGCCGGCCGGCCGCCCACTTGGCACCGCGTCCGTCTCTTCCTCCGCGGTCTTGGCAGGGCCTGGGGCCGCCTTCCGCCCGCAAACCCTCGACAGCCGGGACATCCCGCCGTCGGCCCCGGGGCTGGGGGGCAGCCAGGCCGGGGAGGGGCCGGAGCCACGGGCTCGGAGCCACAAATGTTTCCTTGAAGACCCGGAAGCTCGCGGCCGTGGTGCTGGACGCGCACGGGGGGAGCCGGCTGGGGATCGGGGTGCATCGCGGGCGGTAATTAGGATCTTGGCCTCCCGGCATCGAATGTGGCATCCCGGTGACCTCCCGGGGGCTTCCTGTCGCCGGCACGGCCGCGCCTGGGCTCTGGGACGCGCCACCGTGCGGCTTGAAGCCGGCGGGCTCTTAATCACAGATCTTCAGCCGCTTGTGGATTCGAATCCTTAGTCTCAACAACTCATGTGAACGTGGGGTCTTTTAACAGCTTTATTGATGGGAAATTCACGTAATTTACCCACCGAAAGTGTGTCACGGAGTAGTTTTTAGTGTATTCGTAGGGTTGAGCAGTTGTCGTCTCTATGTAATTCCAGAACATTCCATCCCCCAAAATGAACCCCGACCCTCCCAGCCCCTGGCCCCCACGAGCCCGCTCTCTGTCTGTGGATCTGCCTGTTCTGGATGTTTCCCATCAATGGGGTCACACACCGTGTGTCCTTCTGTGTCTGCGTCTCTCCCTGAGCGTCGTGTGTCCATCCACGTGCAGCCGTGTCAGGGCCTCGCTCCTCTTCCCGGCTGCGTAATATTCCAGCGTGTGGACGGACACGTGTGTGGGTCCGTCATCTGTTGGTGGCACTCTGGTCGTGTCCACACCGGCTGTCGTGAGTCGTGCCGCAGGGACACGCGTGTGCACAGGCCCGTGTGTGGGCGTGTTTTCAGTGTCCTCGGACACACACCCGGGAGTGGAATTGCTGGGTCGGGTGGCGACTCTGTTCCCCCTTCTGGGGACCTGCTGACTCATCTGCGGCCGCTGCCCCGTCTGACGTTCCCGCCGGCCGTGCTCGGGGCTCCGGTGGACGCCCGCGGCTGTGACCGGGACTCTGGCCGTCTCGCCGTCGGTTTGGTTTTGCGTTAAATGTCGCGATGTTTCCCGCTGCCCGAGGTGACGTCCACTCACGGCGTCACGTGGCGACGCGGAGGTGACGGTTCTGGCTGACGTTGTCGCCTGGCTGGTGTGAGCGTCTCATGGATCCTCCCTGGATCCCACGGTGGGGAGGGGTTGCTTCCATTGTGCAGATGGGGAAACTGAGGCACGGAGTGGTGCAGTCACATGGGGCAGGTGTCAGAGCGGGGATTTGACCTCGAGGGTCGGCCCGCTGTGTGGTTTGGGGCAGCCTGGGGGCCTCTCTGAGCCTCTGTTTCCTCTGTCTGAGATGGGGCCGCTGGTCCGGGGCCGAGGCCCGTCTTGTCTCGTTCCTTCTGGGCCTTTCAGCTCCCAGTTTCTTTAATTTTGGGAAACACCTCAATACATTTTCCGCTCCATCTTTGATCCCAGAAATAGCGCTTGATCCCACTCTTGTAGGGAGAAGAAATGGAACATTCCAGCCACCCCCGGCCGCGGGTTTTCCGGGCCTTTCTCTATCCGTTGACACCCAGAGATGTGGTGTTGTCACCCAGCGTCTCTGTTGTGTCGGAATGTTCCGGGTCTTTGCAGCTACGGCTGTTTCCCCTGTGGGGCCGACCCTGGCACTCGGGTCTGTTTTCCTGCCGTGTCCCCATTGTAGACGATACACGGTGGACGTCTTTGGGTTCACAGGGGGGCCCGGGGCGGGGTGGGGATGGGCAGCTGGCGTGGCAGACATCTGCTGTGTCCCGCCTGGGAACCCTGCAGGCTGGCAGGAGCCAGAGTGGAATGGAGGCAATCCCAGCCCTGAGGGTGGGGGCTGGGCTGGAGGAATGGGGTTGAGGAGAAGGCTTCCCCGACGAATGGGTTTTGCAGATGGGGCTTTGCGGGATGTGTAGGAGTTCGCCAGATGGACAGAGAAGGATGGGGTCTGTGTCTTGGAGCGGTGTGGCTGGAACATAAAGGGGGTCGAGTCGGGCTGGACAAACCAAAGGTGGGCTCGAAGCGGGGGAGCCTTGACGGGATTTGGAGCCGGGGAGGCAGAGAGGTTGGGAGGACCCTTCTGGGGTCCACGAGCCAGGGAGGACGGGAAGAGACCAGCACTTCTGCGGGGCCGGGGGAGAAGGACGGGGATGTCCCGGGGGAGGAGTGTGGCCCGGGCGGAGGCCTGAGGTCAGGCTCTGGGTTCTGAGCCCCGCGACCTTCAGCTGGTGCGCCCGAGGCAGAGCGGGCCGGGGACCAGGCCCCATGGGTCCCGTGGGCCGGCTCAGGCGCCGGGCGTCTTCCCGGGGTGCCGGGAGCCCCGGCTGCGTGTGGCGGGAGGCGGGGCGGGTGCCGGGGAGCCCCTCGGGAGCCCAGCCGTCCCCGCCCGGGCAGCGCCCGCCTCATCAAAGGCACTGTGGCTGCTGGCGCGGAGCCAGCCGGGCCGAGGGGGGGGGGGGGGGGGGGCGGCCCTGGCATCGTGCCCCCGCCCGTGCCAGCCCTGGGAACAGCACTGACTCAGCCGGAAGAGCCTTATCTGGCCGCGCGCAGCCACCCGGCCGCCCGGTCACGCCGTGGGGTCACCGCCGCGGTGTCCTGGCCCCACGCCCGCCGCCGGCTACCCGGCCTGGTGGCTGCCGCCCAGCGCCCGGCCCGCCCCACGCTCCCTAATAACACACGCGGCCGCCGAGGGAGCGCCCGGTGCCCCGGGTCAGGGGTGGGCGTGGGCGAGCCGCGTGGGGGCCGGCGGCTGACGTGGGCGTGGGGACGTGGCCGGCGGCGGGTGGTCCCCTTGGGCGTTGTGCGCGGGCACCGTGGCTCACGCGTCCCCGTGTCTGGTGTGGTTTACGTGTGCACCGCGTGACGTGGACGTGTCCTGAGTGTGGCCCGGGGTCTGGACACCCTCACGGGGGCGTGTCGATGCCGGCGCCTCGCACGCTCGCCGTGTCTGTACCTGACGGGGCGACGGCCCCGTGGCTGTTTGTTTGCACGTTGCACGTGGCTGCGGGGGGCTCGGTTCCTTCTTCTGGTCACATGCTGCTGTGTGATGTTGGGCAGGAGCACGCCCTCTCTGATCCAGAGGGGATGCTGGGCAGGCTCGGCCCACTCTGTGCCTCGATTTCCCCTCCTGACACAGAGACCTTTCAACTCCCTGAGCTTCCTGACCTCACAGCCGCCACCACCCGGGGTGACTCGTGGGGGCGCCCGCCTCTCTGCGACGGCCCAGCACCCCCATTTCCATTCACGTCGCCCGGCCGGTGGTGGGGAGGCTCCCAGCTGGGTCGGGGGTCCCGGCAGGCGGGTGGGCACGCGTGGGGGCGGGGCGCCGACCGCCCCTTCTCCGCCCGCCC